ATATTTAGAAAATATATTTATGATTATATTCATTTATAATTGTAAACAAAAAATATTTATTCCGAGATAAATATTTTATTAAAATAATTTTTATTGTGCAACAATATTATTAATTAATTAATTATATTAATACAATAAATTTTTCCCATACCTGTAAGCAGTGGCGTAGCTACGGGGGTGGTTTTCGGGTTTGGACCCCTCCCAGAGCAAAAATTTTTTTAGATTATACGTTCAAAAGACTTAAAAGTGATTTTATATGAATTATATTTTTCTGGTTTTGATGTTTGTGGAAGGATATTATATTACTATTAAAATTATTCTGGATAGTATTATTATAAAGTCATTGAGAATAATCTACTAAATTATAATAACATATTAATGATGCATTTAAAAAATATATTTATTATATATTATCGAAGATATGGTTATGATTTGTAAGATAAACCCGGCCGAAGGCCGAGCAAAAGAGCCAAATGCCCGTTAAAGGGGGTCTGGGGGCGAAGTCCCCATCTTTTATATGTATGGACCCCCTCTAAGGAAAATTCCTAGCTACGCCACTGCCTGTAAGCAACATTTTTACATTGGTGAATAAAATATTATGTAAGTGCAATAATGTTTCGAGTAACTTTTTATGTAATATAATACATATTTACTAGATTTATCATAAAATTGAATCGTTTTAAAACTTGAAAATTTAAAACTAATAATAGAAAATAATTTTGCGTGCTTTTTTTAGATGTTTGTCCCACTTCCGTTTGTATATTTTATTTCTTGAATTATCTTATTTATTACATAAATATGTAAGTCGGAGTTAAATCTTAACTAAACTAGCAATTATATTAGACAGGAACCAGAGTCATACAAAAACATTTGTCGGTCTGGGAAAAAATGAATTGTAAGACCCTTTATATTCTAATTTATTCAAGATAAAAAAAAATAAAAAAAAAATTTGTTATTTTATAATAGGATTACAGAATAAAAAATTTGGAATATGACATAGGTAACTTGAGCTGTAAACATTTTTTAAAAAAATAATGAATTAGTTAGCCTTATTCGTTCTTTCTTTAACTGGATTGCAAGGTAAAAATTATCAAATTGTGATAGATTGTAATATGAGAATGGACAAACTAAATAAATTTTCCTATATTTTTTAGAAAATGATTAATATATTTTAAACAATTATCGATCCTCCTGGAACTTAATTCATATTTTTAAGATTAATTATGTCCAAGAAATAGGCTTTCAAATCCTTTTATGAAAATTTTAGTGAGTTTTCTATTTATCTTAATTCTTTTTTTTATAAAATTATGTTTAATAAAATTTGTAGAGTATTGCGATTTCTAACTGATTTAAAGATTTTAAATATATTATTTATTGTCATAATGATGGAAGCTTCTAATTTTTTTTCGTTTTAAGATTTAAATTTGATATAGGAATATAATCTTCTTTAAAACCAGATTTGCTAACTATAGGTTTTCTATTATATGTAAATAGTTTACACAAAATGAGTCAAAAAATGATGTATTTTTTAAAACCCAAAAATCTAAAAGAAAATATCTAAACTGAGAATGGACATCATAATTCCAAAATAATGATGGAAATTTCAATTATTATTTAATGATTATATAAGTTTGTACCAAATATAATCCATGGCTATGCTTATTATAAATTTATGAACTACATTTCCTCCATATTATATTTTAATTTTTTAGATTATTTTAATTTTGGATAAATTTGATTTATATTAAAAACATTTATTTATATTTTTAAAATTGAAGTTTTCTGAGATAGTATAACGAGTTAAATTTTATTTAATTTATTTTTATAATTCTTCATCTGATTTAAAACTAAAAATGTATAGCATGTTACAAACAAAAAATCAATTTATATATTAATGTAATAATTTATATAAAAAAATCAATTTTCACAATTTATAAAAAAACAATTTATATAAACACAAAAAAACAATTTAAAGGTTAGTATAAATCGACATATAAACATTCCACCCTTTAAAAAAACGATCTCCATTTATGTTTTTCCTGCATGTGAATCTTATCGTGCAATCTGTCATAGTTTCGTCATGGAAAATGATAGTTATTTTGGTTGTTTAATCTTTAGTTACCATAATATGGTCGAATCTGCCATGCAGTGGCGTAGGCATGGGGGGGGGGGGGTTTGAGGGTTCAACCCCCCCCCCCATTTAAATTATATTTTTTAAATTTATTTTTTAAAATTTTTTAATTTAAAATTCTTAATAAACGCTGGATTTTTATGTTTTAAATTTATTATAAATAATAATAGATATACACATTTGATTATTTTTATATTTATTGGTTTGCAGCTATTTCACACCACCCAAAAAAGGAAGTTATTTAAAACGTATCATGATATTGACTTAAAAAATCAAAAAAAAAACTAAAGATTTTGTCCGACCAGATTCATCGAAAGACAAGAGTTGGTGAAACTCTTTATTGAAATATATGATATTGTCTTTGCAGCACTAGAATTTTATATATCAAGCAAGGAAAAAGATTCAGCAGATGCCGAAAATCTTTTGCAGGCTATTATTAAGACACAGTTTTTAATTTCAATTCAATATGTTAATTTTTTATTTAATTATACATATGATTTTAGCAAAATGCTTCAAAAAATTGATTTGGATTTAAGGGAGATTATGAATAGAGCAAAGATATTGTTGAAATATCAACAAATATAAGAGAGAATGTGGATGAAAAATTTCATGAAATATATGAAAAAGTAAAGGAGATTGCTAATATGTTTGGAATTGAAATTTTTAAACCTAGAGTAGTCTCTAGACAATCCAATCGATCAAATATTGATGCATCTACGATTGCGGATTTTTATAAAATAAACATTTTTATTCCCCTTATTGATACATTTTTATTTCAATTAAAAGAAAGATTTATTAGTCATAATTATATTTTCAAAGCTTTTATTTTCTTTTGCCGGTTGAGTCTAAACTGTTGATTACACTTGAAACACGAGAGGATATTAAAAAAATCTCAGAGTTTATGCTGATGATTTAGTAGGTTCATATGATAAGTTACTTTGTGATGTCGAATTTTGGTATAAAAATTTTGACAGAATAGGGTATTCTTTGAGACCAAAAAATGCTCTGTAGGCCCTTTCCATGTGTATTTGCATTTTAGATTCCCTGCCTAATATCAAAACATTATTAATTTTAACTACCTTGCCAATTAGTACCTGCATTAATGAAAGGTCTTTTTCAACTTTAAAAAGGTTAAAAACCTATTTAAGAAACACAACCGGTGAAAAAGGTTTAATGGATTAGCCCTATTGAATATTAACAAGGAGATTATTATAGATAAAAATTTGATTCTAGATGAATTAGCAAAATCTCTGAGAAAAGTAGATCTCTCTTTTTAAATTCAAATCAAAAAATAGCAATAAGATTTTATTAGTTTTAATATATAATCAACTTTTTTTTTGTAAAAAAAGTATTATTTATAAGATAATATCATCATATTTTTTTAAATACCATTATTTGCATAAGAATTACACATATTTTATATAATTATAAAAAATTACTTTTTTAAAATAGAGTCTTTATACATTATAATTTTTAATATTAAAATCTGTATTATATAAAATATCAACATTTTGAAAACATTTTAATTAATAATAATATATATATGATTAAATAAAGGAATGTAAATATATAATAAAATAGCCTAAAATTTTGTTATATGAAAATATAAAACAATTTTAACAAGTCCAAATATATAAGCAAATAAGTGTTCAAAAAAATAGGAGGTTTGGGGGGCTTCGCCCCCCCCCATTTTTAAATTTAAGCCCCCCCCCCCATGATAAAATCTTGGCTACGCCACTGCTGCCATGGTTGTCTAAACTGATAATTGTAATTATTATCATAAAGTCTTTTGCTCATGGCATCATCTGTGTATTGTCATATCTAGTATTAGTTGGTTTTTGTTCGTAAACTTTCTTATCTTGTCTCACTCCCTCCAAATCTTTGAAAAATTGTTTTTTATTTATAATAATTTTATTCTAAAACTAAAAATGATACTAAAAATAAATATAAAATAAGGTATATATATATATATATATGTATTATAAAAAAAACAATTTAAACGAAATATATCTTTTAAGGCTATAATGATAATTTAAGTTAAATAAAAAATCAATCAATCAACATTCTCCTTCTTCTGAAAAGCCTTCCCATAATCCATCTGAGCTATCATAGAGAATATGTAGTTCAAATGGTTGTTCATTTTGATTGTTCAAGTCGTTCATAAGTCATTGTAGTCGTTGGCTTGATTCTATCACGTTGGTTTGTTAATATTGTTTTGAGTACGCAGGCTCGTCGTCAAGCTCCGTCGTTATCATTGTCAATTTTACAAAATTGTTATTATCACCAATTGTAAAATAATCATTATTAAATAGGATTTCAGAATATATGAATAATTAGAGAATCGATCAAATTTGAATGTTAGAATATTTTATAAATTGTCATTGGTTTTGCTCTATAGAATTCATAACCTATTGTTAAACTATCATTTTGGTTCTTGTAAGTTCATATACCCAATTTTAGTAATCATTTCCATTTATAACAATTCATATCCATGATTGATTCGTCTAGTTTGATATTAAGTTTAATAATTCTCCTTCCCAGACATAATAAATATATGAGATTTTTTTATATATCATTGTGAGTTATCATTCCGGGGCACCATGTTATACAACAATAACGGTGGTGAGAAAAACTGGTTTTAAGTTATATATATTTTATTCTAAAACTAAAAATGATATTAAAAATATATATAAAATAAGGTAAATATATATATATATATACGTATTATAAAAAAAACAATTTAAACGAAATATATCATTTAAGGCTATAATAACAATTTAAATTAAATTTAAAATCAATCAATCATAAAATAAAAATAAATGTACCTGTCTGTCCTCAGTTTACCTATCCATTCTCAGTTTCCTGTCATGTGCATAAGTTTAATTTATTATGAACCTTCAAAAACAAAATCAAACTATATATTTATTTTCGCTCATAATCGAGATGAATACTTTGATAGACCTTCAAAGCCTATATCGATGTATTCAAATTCAGATATTATCTCAGGTTTTTTAAAAAGGATTATTTTTAATATTTTTTTACTTCACTTTTTATAGGGATTGATACTACTATAGATAAAGAAGGAGGCACATGGCTTGGAATTTCTAAAAAAAATGGGAAAATAGCCACTATATTGAATATACCTACCAAGAGAAAACCTAATATTTATATAAATTTACCTGAAATCTTAAATAAAAATACTAAAAGAGGCTTTATTGTCAATGATTTTTTGGCAGATGTAGACCCCGATAAGAACAGCATTATGAAATGCGAAAAATTATTTAATGAAAAATATTATAATCAACCATTTCATCTCATAGGTACATCATCATTTCCTTATAAAATTAATTCACTTAATTTTAAGCAGCAAAATTCAGATACATCATATTATTCTGGTTTATATTACTATAATAATGAAACACATATGAAGCATTCAAAATTTATTAATCTTATGCCTGATATATATTGCTTTGGCAATTCAAAATATCCTGAAACATCCTTGCTGAAAAATAAATCAAATTCTAAACCAAAATGGTCAAAATTGCTAAGAGCTAAAAAAATATTTGAAAAGATACTTTTTAATGATTATGACATAACAACTAATTTTGGGAATAAAGATCAAATCCTTGCTTCATTAATGAATGAACTTCTTCTAGATCATCTAAAGTATACTTACATTTAAAATTTATTTTAATAATATATTATTCTTATATAAAAATAGCTATAAACCTTTAAGTATTAATATGGAAATAATTTTTTTGTGCTTTTTCTAAAAATTTGTATAATTCTCTAACATCTTTCAAATTTAAATATGATTAGTTTTTTTAACTATTACTACTTTCTAAATCAATAGTTTTTCTTTCACCCCCAGAAGATGGAGATTCAATAATATATTCATCATCTATGATTTCATTTCTAAAAATAAAAATTCTATTAAATTAAATTACCTTGAAAAATGTGAAAAAAGTAAACGATGAATGAGCTATTTTAAAGTGTTATTAAATAATCAATGCACATTAATTAAAAAGTAATTCATAGTAAACTTGTATCTTTTCCAATCTGTTTTTGCTTGGATCTGACAATCGGACCATGATGTCATACAGATAGCTAGAAGAGATCAGGTAACACTAGGTATAGTTGATATATTTTATTTTGCTTAATTAAGATTAAGCAATTCCTACTGACATTAAGTTAATATGGCACCAGAAATAAACTGGCATTGATAAGAGTTCTGTAAAATGATGATAAAATTAATATAAAAAAAGCCCATTGAGACTATAAATTTAATTTTCTAAAAGAGTCAAAAATTTAGTAAACCATTGGTAATGTTATAAAAAAAATTGGATTAAAGACCCATTTTTTAGTGGGAATAAAGCTCCCTCACTTGGTTAGATCTGAACTGTAAATCTGAAACTATGACAGCTCATCTGGTTCCCTTTTCAACAAAAAATCATTTGAAGCTGAATTGAAACTATTATCAACCTAATAGGAAAAAGTGTTGATCCATCAAAAAATCTAATTGATTTTCGATGACAATGCTAACAAACCAGATTTGGTAGGAGGAGGATATACAATTACAGATCTTCTAGACCCCTATCTACAAATATGATAATGGCAACAGTTGACAATATTTTCTCGTGAATTACCGTGATAATTAAAGGCTTTATAATTATATTTCATAGATATATGGATAGCTGGTGCAACGTACTATTTTTACTCTGTATGAAAATTACTCACTTATTTAGTGATATTGACATTTTCGATTGACTTGCATAAATTTAATATGATATTAGTTTTACATTTTAGACTGACGTGTAAATATTAAATATAATAAATTTGTGATATTGATAATTTTAACTGACATGTAAAAATTAAATATACTAAATTTAGTGTTATTGACATTTCTGACTGGCGTGTAAAAATTTAATATAAAAAATATGATATTTAAATTTTTAACTGACATGTTTTACTCCTTATAAAAATTACTTATTTAATGATATTGACATTCTTGACTGACATGTATTACTCCTTATAAAAAATACTAACTTATTTCATGATTTTACTCATTATAAAAATTATTCACTTATTTATTGACTTTATGACAATTTTTTATTCTCTTTACAAAATTTATAGATTTTTTTATAACTTGAAAAAGGTCAAAACTTAATATATAAATATCAGATATAACATCTTTAAAAAAATATCCCGATATAAATAAGATATATGATGTTAATAAGATAAGCAATGTAAATAAGATTCACGATATGAATATATGTATATATGATGTGAATAAGGTACAAAATATGAATATATATATATGATGTTATAAATAAGATATATTATGTGAATATGATATGTGATATAAATATGCGATATAAACAAGATTAAAAATTTATTATACAGTCATAATGCTTGCAATAATTTCTTAATTATATATTTACATTAAATTTTTTTATGTAAAGTTTTAATTGGTGTATAATAAGCCCATTTATAGATAGTATGAATGATAATATATGTCTGAAGCATAGTTGTCATTTATCTCCACTGCTGTTCCGAAAGTGACATTTTGGACCATGCCTGTTCTTTCCAATTAAGAGTCAACTGGTTCTCCCAGAAACCCCTCCATCAGCTCTGCCTTGTAAGTCAAGTGATAACTATTTATATGACAACAATCACAATTCGGAAAAAGAGAAGGATAATGTAGATAGTGATGAGTGTGAAGATTGCTATAAATATTGTTACATTAAAATATGCTAGCATTTAACAAGTTATATAACAAAATTAAGGTAAAGATGACAAAACTAAATGGAATAAGGAGTGTCTTCCTCCAAAAATCCAGATCTCATAACATAATTTCTTGTTTGCTGGGAGTTAAATCAGATGCAAAAAAAGGAAAATCACCTCTTGAAAGCTTTAAATTATTTATCTCAGTTCTTATTACAGTTTTAGTTATAAAATATACAAATCAAAAGATTGAGTTCATTAAAAAAAATGAAGAATCTATTCAAAATGCAAAAATGGATGAAAATGAATTTAATGCTTTGGTTGGTTTGTTAATAGCTGGTGTTTAAACCATCAAAATATAAGAGATTTATGGAATAAGGATGGATTTGGTATAAATATATTTAGATTTACCAAGATGTTATGATTGTCTAAGGATGAAAGACAAAAAAAACAACATTTATTTATTTAAATTGTTCAAAATTCATTTGTAAAGATTATATGCATACATTTTGTCATGAATGTTATTACAAAAATTACATGATATTTGATGATTAATATTTTTTTTTGATATTTTCTTTTCAAAATTTATGTAATTACCATTATTCAACATTGATTTAATAAAATATATAATAAAATTTGCATTTTTCTTTAATTTTTTTTGATGTTAATACTATAATTAACGAAAGGTCTCAAAAATTTTATATAAACAACTTTAGGAAAATTTGCATAACATTAAAATTTGACTTAAAATAGAATCTACCTTTGTAGTTACGTGAGATTTTTCCACATGTGTAGTGGTTTAATAAACATTAGTAAAACATGAATTTATGAAATATTGGAAGAATTTATTTAAACACAATTCAAAATATTTTGCTTACCAGCCAATTTTTTTATGGGTCTTGTTAATGCTAAAATGGCCAGCAAGTGAAATTGCTTCGATATTATTATCACAGCCACTGTGAACTGTTTTAATAAGTTTTATTCTTCTAGTAATGTTCATTATGACTTCACCATTGTGTGTATGGTGATATAATTTATCATTGCGCATAGTAAACCTCTCCTCTCACCATCATTTTTTGATAAACGGATGGGGTATATTTGGTACAATATGAAGTTTTTAATTTCTTTATAATCTAAAAAGGTTATATAAAATTTAAATATTTAATTTACTTCATTATTAATTGTCATTTCGGAAATAAATCATATCATATCATATTATACACTGGGGAGACATCCCACAATTAAGTGAGCACTCCACCACCCCATAGAGGGCGTCTCCAGTGCAGTGAATTTGCATTCACCGTTTGGCAGAAAATTTACCCTACTGTCTGGGTCCCGTTTAATTTGAGTGGGATGACGGGTACCACTCGTAGATAAGTTAGGATCCACAAAGTTGACAGTAATTTACCCTACTGTCAGGGTCTCGTTTAATTTGAGTGGGATGACGGGTACCACTCGTGGATAAGCCAGGATCCACATTGTAAATAATGTTTTTTATTATAAGATAAGATAGGAATATGTATTAGAAAAAAGGAGGAGGGGGGGGGGTGAAGGAGTAAAGGAAGAAGAGTTAGTTTTTATAATTTGTAATTTATTTATTTTTTGTTTTCTTTTTTTGTATTATTGGTAATAAGAGATTTTTGAGTTAAAATAATGTTAATATCATATTGATCAGGAATTTCCTGAGTATAGTTGTTTTTGAAGGTAGGCTAGGAAAGTTGTAGGAGTAGATTGTTAGATTTTAGAAATTGGCATAATATAAATTTTAAAGTAGATTGTAAGATAAATTTGAAAAAGGGGCAAAAATAAGCAGATGATATTTGGAAAATTAAAAAGCAATAAGCAGACAAGAAAATGATGAATAATAAAATATTTATGAAATTGAGTTTTAAAAGAGAATTAGTGTTAAGTTTTATTTAAGGAGGAAGTTGTAATTATATTAAATGTTGATTTATATTATTTTGTTTAAATTAAGTTAATAAGATTAATATATAAAAAATAAATTATTGAAGGAAATTAGTTGAAATGAAAGATAAATAAATGAAATTATAATGATATTTGTTAAGTTTTATAGTAGTTTAGGTAAAGAATTGGAGAAAATAAGAAAGGATTAAGTTATAATGAATTAAATGAAATAAATTTAGTAAAAGAAGAAGAGAGTTTGTTTCTTTGAATCTAGAAAAAATAAAAAATTAATGAGTAAAAGTAATAACTTGACAGAGATATATTATTGGTTGTGTATAATCCTCAGCAATTAAAAGGGGTTTCATTAGTTATCCAAACATTATCCAAGTATTTGAAAGAATTTACTAGAGTTTTGATTCAGAAGAGTAGAAGTTAGGCTTTTTCATGTCATAAAAAATGTATGTAAGCACTAAGTAAATATTTAAGGAATATAGTGTGGTTGAAAATGAAATTGTTGAATTCATGACTTATAAGCAAAACTTTAATTTATAAGCCTAAAGATAGATTAATAAAATATTATAACATATTATACACTGGGGAGATATCCCATAATTAAGTGGGTATTTCACCATCACGTAGAGGGTGTCTAGAAATAAATAGAGATAATAATAGAGGAAGGAAGGAGGTATGGAAATAAAGGAGAATAGAGAAATTTGGTTTTTTGATTAAAATTTTTTTTTTTTTTTTAAATTGTTTATTACAAATATTGATAACAGGATAAAAGTACAATATTAATAATATAATTATATATAAAAAATATGAAATAATATTTATATATATATTAATGGATTAATAAATAAAAGGAAAAATTAATCAAGAATGGCCTGATTTAGCCAAAATTTTAGATCTGATTTATTTTGAGATGTGTTGAATAAGAAGAGATTACTCACATTGTTGAGTTTTAAAATATATAGGATATGGCCATACCAAGAATTATGATATAGGTAATATTGTTTTTTGTTTTAGTGGATTTATAG